CGCGGGCCAGGAGTGAGAGGGAACGTTAGTGGAAGACCAGCTCAGGAGCGGGGGGGAACATCGACTTGAAACCGGCGATGCATCGCCGAAAGATCGGCGGTAGGAGGCGGCCGTCGTTGGTCCAGCTGCTGGCTCTGGGCGCAAAACAAATCATGGGCAACGTCGGGAGCGCTGCGCGCCCTGGCGGTCGGCCGTCGACGTACGCCCGTCAGCCCGGCGCACGCCAACACGGGTCTGGCGCGCGGGAGCCACCTCCACAGGACACGAGGACAATGCCGCCCGAAACATGAGGACAATGCCGCCCGATTTGGCGGCGGAGCGCGCCGATTCTTTACGGAAGCGGGGCTCGTCGCTAATCCACGCGCCGTAATCCGTGTTTGCGCTTCCTCGAGCCATCTTGAGTCAGTACCAGCGAGGGGTCAGAGGTGGCTGCTCACGCGGCGTCCGCTGGGCAAGCCGCCACAGCAGCGGCCAGCCTCTCTGCGGACGTCCTGTGGGGCGCCCTGCAGCCTGCGAAGTACGGCCTTCGCATTTGTTCTGTGGAAGGGAACCGAGAGTTCCGCCGCCACGGCGGCAGGTACCTCCCGCGTGGCGACCGCCGCAGGCTTCGTCTGGATGGCCAGAGCGCGGCGCGCGTCTTACCCCACCCGCCGCAATGCGCTTCCAGTGCGCGCGTGCGGAGGAGTTGGCGCTTCGGGCAGCCCCGCCACTAAGCCAGAGCCCCCAGGCCCAGCGCAGGTCGGCACCTCGCGCCGATCCCCGGGATAGACCGTCCCACGGTAGCAAGAAGAGGCGCTGGCAGCCCCGCCCGGAGCCAACCATCATCCCGAGCCCGCCCGGCGGAACTGCGAGGGAGCCCTCCGAAAGCCCCCGACAAAAGGCGAACCCGACCTGCGCTCCCCTGCTCATTCCAGTCCGCTTGCGCCGCCCAGTGGAAGCAGCGTGGGGGGGAAAGGACTGCCCTCACAGCGTACCGTAGGCTTCGGCGGGGCTCCCAGAACCCGAGCCTCGGAGAAGCTCGCATTCCTGCCAAGGCCCAGGTTTTTTGCTACTGCAGAGTCCCACCAAGCTCAGCTAGAACCCGCCCCAGCCCAGGCCCGGCCTGCCAGGCACATGGAGGGAAGGAGGCGGGGAAGGGGGGGGAGGGAGGCGGGGGGAGGGGGAAGGCGGGGCAGGGAGGCCGAGCAAGAAGGGGCGAGGAGGAGAATGAGGAGGAGGAAGAGGAGGAGGAGGAGCAGCCAACCCCACGCAGCACGCAAGCTGCGCGTGCCACGGGGGAAGCAGCCTCGAGCTGGCGGCAGGGCCTTGCCTCACTCTCTGAAGGACGAGCAGGGCGGGCGACACGCCTGTCTCTGTGCGAAGCTCCCAGGGCCACAGCAGGCAGCCCTCCAGTTTGCAGCCCGAGCCCACTCAACCCAGCATATCCCACCCTGGCCCCCTCGACGCGATCTGTCGCCAGTCCAGAGGTATCAGCGTGCCAGGCGGATAGCGACGCCAAGCGAGCAGGGTGAGGGAGGGAGAGAGGGGGGCGGGCTGACCCAGAATGGCCCAGCCCACCCTCGGAGGAGAGGAAGGAGGCAGGAAGGGAGGGAGATATGAGATGAGATGGGAAGCAGGGGATGATGAGGAAAGAGGGAAGAGCAGAGGGAAGAGGGAGAAGGTGATTACATGGGGGAAGAGGGAAGAGGGAATAATGAGGGATGAGACAGGAGGGAAGAGGGAAGAGCAGAGGGGGAATGCCAACACCTTCTCTTTTGAGGAGGAAGAGTACTTGCACGAGATAGTCTCACCATAGGCAGGAGGGGAAGCTAAGACTGACTAGGCTCTTGGAAAATGTCGAGCTGTGGCTACACCAAGCCGCGCTAAATCGAGAGGGAGGGCCCCAGCGGGCTGACCTGCATACAACTTGTAGCTCGCACCGATGTCGTTATCATTGTACGGGCGAGCCGTAGCGAGCGCAAGCTCAATCCGGTCTTCCCCTCCTCCAATTCTCCCTCGCCTCCCTCCACCCGCTGAGAAATGCCTAACGAAAACTACATCGGCAAAACATCTCGAAGGCCCGCACGCCTCCGCGCGCCGGGGAAGGGGTGTGAGGAGCGCGGTCCAGCGATAGCCCAATAACTCCGCGCGGACATCGGAAAATCCCACCAGCCCTCTGGGCGTCAGGAGTTCAGAGAGGAGTAGGTTCGAGAGATTCCTGTCCCATCTTCCCTCTTCCTTGTCGGGGTGGGGTTTGTCACTGTTCGCCCTCCCCCATGCGACCAGCACAAACCAACGCCCCCCCCCCCCCAACCACCCCTGCCAAAAAAAATCCAAAATACATTTTGGGGTAGAATCTTGGATCATGCTCGTGGACCCCGCGAGCACTTGGTTTTGTTTGTTGACATACTGCCTGCTGCGTGCAAGGCCCCCGTCCATATGAAAAAAGATAGACGGAGTGCAAATCACGGCTGAATCTGGACCGTGCGCGGCCACCCCGCGATCAGTGCCCATTGATTTTTGACAAGGATGGCGGGGATGCTGGCACGTTGCCTGCTGCGCGCAGGCCCATCAAACATCATGACGGCCTCCCCACCGCCATTGTGCATTGTTTTTGTCAAGGGTCATGGGGGCCGACAAGTTTTCCGATGTGTGTGTGTGTGTTGTCACGTGCAGAAGCGCACCTGGCACTCTACGCGCGTCCCGAACGCGGCGCACCTGGCGCGGCTGGACCATGCGGCACTCATGGCGCACGTAAAACACGTGGCGCATCTGGCGCGCCAGGCGTGCCTGGCACGCTTGGGCCCCAGGGTTGCCTGGCGCACCTGGCGCGCGTGGCGCGCCTGGCACACGTGGCGCACCTCGCCCCATCGTCGCGCACGTGGGATCTATTTTGGTTTCCAGTAGCTAATCAATAGACGATCGCTGAACATGCTGAGGCTACTTATGTGCTGGGAGGGCGGGCGGGAGTGAGCGAGACAGCTTGCGAGCGGGTAGGGTGTCTTGACCCCTCCCCTACACCCTTCCCCTGGGTTTCTAGGGGGTGTTCCGCGAGGTGTCAGGGCGTCTTTTTGGGCTTCGGCGAGAAGGAACACACCAGTGATGCTACAGTCTTGGCCACATGTTGGCCTCCTGAGGGAGGGAGGGAGTAATTGAGTACGGCCACTCTCTTGATCGACCTCTTCCAAGATGGCCGGGAGGCTCTCAAGGGTGCCCCAAGACAGCCCCAAGAGGTGACAAGAGGCACCCAAGACGCCCCAAGAGGTCTCGGCGAGAAGGCCCAAATCACTGATATTACTAAGGTGTTGGTCACATGTTGGCCTCCTGGGGGGGGCCTCATCCCGCCAGCCCTTTAGGGCGTGAGTGATTTGGAGGCTTTCCCTTTGAGGTGTCGGAGCGTCTTTTCGGCCTCGGCGAGAAAGCCCAAATCATAGATGTTACTAAGGTGCTGGCCACATGTTGCCCTCGTGAGGGGGGGGGGACCTACGGACTACGGTCCCTCCTTTGATCGATCTCCTCCAAAATGGCCCCAAGATGGCCCCCGAGGCTGCCAAGGGTGCCCCAAGACGGCCCCAAGAGGTGCCCAGGAAGCCAAAAGAGGTCCCCGCGAGGCGCCCAAGATGCCCCCAAGAGGCTCCCAAGAGACCCCCAAGAGGCCCCCAAGAGGCCCGAAGAGGCACCAAAGTTGTTCCAAAAGGCCTCTGGGACAATTGGCCTACAAGAAGCTAGCAAAAGACATCCGAAGAGACTCCGAGAAGCATTCAAGAAGCCTCTGGCCTTTCTGCTCGCCCTCCTCCTCCTCCTCCTCCTCCACCTCCTCCTCCTCCTCCTCCTCCTCCTCCTCCTCCTCCTCCTCCTCTTCCTCATCAGTTTAATCCTCCTCCTCCCTCCTCTCTTCTCCCCCCTCGCCCTCCCCCTCCCCCTCCCCCTCCTCCTCCTCCTCCTCCTCCTCCTCCTCCTCCTCCTCCTCCTCCTCCTCCTCCTCCTCCTCCTCCTCTGGTTCCTCCTTCATCCTCGCCCTCTTGGGGTATGACGGCTTCCCAGCCTGTATTCCACTGCATGCTCCCCCACATCCCTGATCAGGGCAACTCGTCTGAGCATCGTTTCTGGATGGGCTGGTGGTGTTTTTTTGTCGCAACCGCAGGCGAAGGCGCCAGCGGAGAGTGAGGGTCGGGCGGGCTACGCGCGAACCTAATTGCCTAACGCTCCGACTAACCGGCGGCGAACTAGTGGTGTTACTTTTTTAGTCAGCGGCCGCGGGCGAGCGCGCCGGCGGCGAGTCAGGTCAAAGCGGGCTACGCAGAGACTAATTAGGCAGAGGAAACGCGGGGAAAATAGAGCAGAGCAACGCGCGAGGCGACGACTAAGCGCCGGACGAGGCCTCAGGTGGGTGGCTGAGGGGACTGAGACTGAGGGGAACTGCCAGCGTGCAAAGCTGCAAGTCCGTCGGATGCGCCATACGTCGGAAAGTCAACGACGGCCAGGGACAACTCCGAGAGAGAAAACGCGATACCGTACCTCAGACGACTGCGTGGGCACCAGGGTGGCCGTGGCCAACGAACCGTCGGTCGAGGTAGGAAAGAGAAATGCAAAGGCGATGCCCCGGACGTCGGCGAAGCGCGAGAACCAGGGGGAAACTGGTGGTGTTACGCGAAGCGCGAGAACCAGGTCTCCACCCCAAACCCCCCAATGCTAATGAGATGCTCCACCCCTGGACAGGTACGCCCATGAGCCTCGCAAAGGCCGATGGCCTCGCGAATGGGATCCCCCCTTCTACTCTTGTGGTCGTGGCGTGGTGGTGGGTGCCCGTGCCCCCCCCTCCCCTCCCCCTGTGGGTGTGGGGTGGTTCGTCGTCGTCGTCGTCCTCGTCCTCGTCCTCGTCCTCGTCGTCCTCGACCTCGTCGTTGTCGTCGTCGTCGTCGTCGTCGTCTTCCACTTCCGTCGGCGTCGGCGTCGTCGTCGTTGTCCCTTATCCCCCTCTTCATCCTCCCCATCACGTTTCACATAGCACCTGAGGGCGGTCAGCTCTGTTCCACGGTCACGATGGTAGGGGGGGGCCTTCGCCCCGTATCCACCACCCAACCGCTGGTCGGGAACACCATCGAATCATTCGATGATGTGTACAGGGTGTCGCGTTTCCAGCTAAAAAAATTGTCGACGTACAGCCGCCACGCTCGACGGGAGTCGCTCCACTCCATGATTACGGACGAGTCGCCCACTTTGGTGTAGCGCGGCCTCCCACGGCTCCAGCCCGATTTCTCCCAGGCGCCGTTGAGCCTCGCGTCCCCAGCGTTCCAGATGTTGAAGAGCATGGAGTGTGCAGCGGCGCCTCCTCCCTCTCCTGATGGGGCGAAGGAGTAGGGAGAAGGACAAGGGAAGGGCGAGTGAAGAGGGAGAGGGACAACGGACGAAAGGGGAAGCGATGATGAAGCCAAGTTAGGCACGCTCGCGCCATATCTGACACCTGGACCCTTTCCACCCGTCCCTCCCCATCGATCTCGTATATAGTAGCAGGACGTGATGGATGAAGGGTGGCGGAGGAGGGGAAAGAGGGGGGTGACAACGATGTGGCAGGACTCGGATCCAGAAAAAAAGACCCGCGCTGCGGCGATGGCGCCACTTTGAACGACGGGAGCAAAGCGCCGATCCTAAAACGAGGCCCACGCTGCAGCGGGAACACCTTCTTGAAGCACCGACGACGCCCCGATTGGAAACAAGTGCAGAAATTACGCTACCGAAAAAACAGCATACTTTTGATATGTCTGGCGTGATGGTAGCTGAAATGAAATATGCGAAAATGATGCTGGTGACCGTTGGCACGCCGATGCCGGTGGTGTCAACCTGCTAGTGCCACTGGTGGAATGCCACCACGAGACCTGCCCCCTACGCACCCCCCGTGGCATGGAGAACATGCCACGCCTGCCACGACCCGCGACCTTGGGACGGAGAGAGACCGCGGTGAGGAACCACCACGTGCGCACCCCCTGTGGTGGAGAAAATGCTACGCCTGCCGCGCCCCGCGACCCTGGGACGGTTAGAGAACACTGAGAAGGACCACCCCCTACGCAACCCCTGCGGTGTGGAGAGAATGCCAAGCCTGCCACGACCCGCGACCCTGGGACGGACAGAGACCGCGGTGAGGGACCACCCCCTGCGCACCCCCTGTGGTGTGGCGCCCCGCGACCCTGGGACGGATAGAGACCACGTTCAGGGACCACGCCCTGCGCAGCCCCTGTGGTGTGGAGGAAGTGCCACGCCTGCCACGCCCCGCGACCCTAGGACGGATAGAGAACGCGTAGGGGGACCACCCCCTGCGCACCCCCTGTGGTGAAAAAGTGCCGCACATGCCGCGCCCCGCGACCATAGGACGGATAGAGATCACGGAGAGGGACAACCCTCTGTTCACCCACGGACGACCTTTTCTCTGACGCATTCTTTCAGCTTGCTTTGGACATGCTGTTCCGACAGCTCACGGTACTGCGCCTCGCGACGAGATTCCCACTGTTTAAGCGTTTGCGTCGCAGCCACTTCCACGTTGCGGGATACAGCGCCCAGCTCGGCAGTGGCTTCCTGATCCACATCTGACCTCGCAGCAAAGTCTCTATGCCCTCAGCAAAAGCACGCGAGGATGAGGCTTTCGATTCCAAGACAATGGCGTGCTCCCGCTGCCGGAAGTCATCGACCTCGCCTCGGGCTCGATGCAACAAAGCTGCACTCTCGTCTGCAATACGCTTGGCCGCTTCAACAGCGGCCCTCTTTCCGGCAGCCGCATGCTGAAGCTCGATGGCTTCAGAGGTGAATTCAACATTGCGTTCTACTGCAGCCTTGAGTGCTGCAGTCATATGACCCACCACCGTCAGTTGACTTGGGTTGGCCCGCGGGACAGCACAAACCACCTTTTCAGCAATAGTCTCGGCAGCAGCTCGTGCCTGCCACTCGGCCACTTGACTTGCCACGAGCCGCGGTCAATTTTTCATCTCAACATAAGCCCTTTCGGTTCTATCGGCCATCGCGAGGCGCAGGCGTTCCTCGGAATATTCCAAGGCGCGAGTGGCAGCCTGCCGGTCTTCCTCGATTTGTAGCCTTGCCGCAGTCCTCTGCTGAAGTTTCGCAGCCCTGACCCGTTCCTGCATATAGGCCACGTATTTTTCTCGATCTTCCATTCGGACAGCGCGTTTTTGTTTTTGTTCCTGCGTATCCTCCCACTGTCGGTGGCGGAAGGCGATGCAGTTATGCATGCAGGGAGCAAGGCAGCCAGGGCATAGAAAACTCAGGTTGCATTCGGAACAATGCACTGAGCATGCCGAGCATACCGGCTTTGTAGATTTGCCAACCATTCCGGGACACCTGAACAAAGGAGCATCTGCACAGCCGACCGCTTTGTGACAGCATTCTTCTTGTATACGATACTTCGATTCGTTCGAGCCGATCGCGATGACGCTCCCAACGTCGCTCGCGGCTCCCGCCGCCTCGCGGACGCTCAGATCGAACCCTTGGCGAGCGGATCCTTAAGACGGGGGCCCAGGTAGGATTTGCCATCAGCCGTCCAGGTCGGCTCGTCCCTGCACCCCCAGACGAAGGGGGCGTTACGCGGTCTGCGCCTCGGTTTTCATCAATTCCCATGCTGGTATTGCCCAACTCCTCTGGTGGGCTCACCGTTTTCGATCGTTTGGTCATCGGCGAATTCAGCAAGGTGACGCCATCTCGGGGTTGTTTAACCGTTGGTGGTCGTGAAACGTCAGCAGAGAACGGATCTTCATATGGGGTCGTCTTTAACGTCGAGCTCTGAACTGCACTGGGTTTCGTGTCCCTGACGAAAGCTCGACCAAACCATGGTTTCGACTATCATTTTCCTCCACGTGCGTTCCGGCAGCATCGCTTGGCAATGAGGAAGAAGGGTCAGATACCTCGTCGTCCGAAGATAGCCCGACGGGTGGCATTATTGCGCCTATGTTAGAATCAGATCCCGGCCTAGGCGTGTCTGGCAGACAAGGAGAGCTGTCGCCGCTAGACACGGAGACAGGGATGTTCATGCTCGCATTCTGCGAGGAGCGTCGGACCGGGCCCCTAACATCGTCAAGGTCTTGGAAGACGACTCTCGCCGCTTCTTTAAAGCCACGTGGATGTTCTGGCGCACCAAAAACAGCCACGTCATCATCAGTTCCTGAAGGGAGCGCCTCCTGGCCTCGGCTGATAACCGCGTGTTTTGCCGATCCATCGTCATGCTAGGCGAACGTGTATTGCCATCGGTGGGTCGTTTTGCCTGTTGATTTTCTTCTTATAGCAGTTCACGAAAAGCTCATCTGCTAACCTCCCACTACGAATTGGTGAATACATGGCTGCGTAAGTCCGTTAAGCAGAACTACTCTAAGAGAAGTATTGCGTATCCGTATGCGCGCGCATGGGGCGGGCCCGCCCGTCCGGCCGGCGCGCGCGCTTTTGCTTGACTAGCTATCGCAGCTGCGGAGACAGTCCCATCCGCATGATCCATACCCTACCTATACTACACCCTGCAAGGGAAAAGAGTGGAGGGCTGTAGAAATAGGCGAAGGGAATGGGTGCCCCACCAGCCCTTTAGGGCGTAGGTGGTCCAGGGAGCTTCCTCTTCCAACCCCCTTTCTTCCCCTTCGGGGAGGGGTTAACCCCTCCTCCGACCCCCTCCCTTGGACTTGGACGCGGGGTTCCACGGGTAGTTGGAACGTCCAAAACGGCCTCGGCGAGGAAGCCAAAATCACTGGCTGCACTAAGGTTGTGTCTCCATTTTGGCCTCCTGGAGGGGGGCCCCAATGAAGGAACTCCCCTTTTTTGATCGATCTCATCCGAGATGCCCCCAAGAGCGCCCCCAAGGCTCAAGAGGGCCCCAAGAGGCGGCCAGTAGGCCCCAAGAGGCCACCAGGATGCCCCCAATTGGCTCCCAATAGGCCCCAAGAGGCCCCAAGAGGCCCTCAGAGGCGCCCAAAATGTTCCAAGAGGCAGGCCTCGGCGAGAATGCCAATATCATGGATTCGACCAAGGTTTAGGCCACAGTTTGGTCTCCTCGGGGGGGGGGCACTGATTAAGGTCACTCCAAGAGCGCCTGGGAAAGCCCAAGATGACCTCCACGATGGCTCAAGAGACCCCAAGATGCCTCGATGCTCCAAGAGGCCCCAAGACCGCTCAAGAGGCCCCAAGACCGCTCCAAGACGGCTCCAAATGGCCAAATAGCTCCCCCAGGAGGCCCCGAAGAGGCCCAAATCCTTCCAAAACCTTAGGAAAATCAGTGTTGTTGGCTTTCTCGCCGATTCGCTTCCGATGGCCATCAGAGGCCTCAAGATGGCCCCAAGATGGCCCAAGAGGGCTCCAAGAGAGGCTCAAGAGAGCCCCAAGACGGCCCCAAGAGCGCCCAAGAGCGTTCCAAGAGCGCCCCAAGAGCGCCCCAAGAAGCGACTTGTTGGGATTCCGAAGGGCAACGCTAATTAATCCCCCCCTCTTGCTTGATCGATGTCCTCCAAGATGGCCCCAAGAACGAACCCAAGGCTCCCAAGAGCGCTTCCAGAGGGGCCTAAGAAGTGCCCAGGACCCCCAGAAGGCCCCAACCGGCGCCCAAGAGGCTCCCAGGAGACCTCCAAGAGACCCCAAGAAGCTCTCCGAGGCACCCAAGGCGCTCTAAGAGGCGTCCGGGATCGTCAACAGGCCCCTGAGACGCTCAAAGAGGCCTCCACTGGGGAACCCTTCCTCTGTGTGCTGCCCACTTGCCTGAACAGGCAATTCATCTGGGCATCGTTTCTGGATGGACTGGCGGGGTTACTTTTCGATTCGCGGCCCGCAAGGAAAAGTCCAGAGGGCGGCGCGAACGAGGCTGGGGCACAGCGCACGGAAAGGCAACTAATTAACGGCGCAGCGCAAGTGCCGGCCGAGAAGGCAACCGCGATGGCGCCGGCAGAAGCCCGGGCGTCACGCGCGACTACCAGAAGCAGCTGAGCATGTGCCAGCAGCAGCAGAAATTAACAACGCTGGACATGTGCCAGCAAAGATTGCAAATGAGAAGTACCAGCCGCTGAGCGCATGCCAGCGAGAGTGGGGAGGGCGGAAAGGTCGGACCCGCAGGTGGGGCCAGACTGCCAGGCGGAAGGTGCCAAAACCACTCACTCACTTGGAACGTCGGCCAGACTGTGCGCCGCTGAGGGGGTTCGGGCCAATGCCTGGAGATGGCCGACCACAGAGGAGAGCGCCCGCGATGGCCTCTGGTACCAAGGCGGAGTGCGGCTTGCGCATCCCGAAGGCACTCCTGTGACTGTAGCCGACGTCTAACACAAGCGCCAGAACGGTGCCTTGACCGACGTCCGTGTCCGCCGATGCCGA